TTCAGCTGTGACTTCAGCATTCTTAAGGTGATACTCATTATGATCAAAAACACTTACTAAAAATAGAGCTATTATGATCCAGCAAAAGAACTCATTCATAAATACAGATAGAACTCCAACTTGAAAAGATACATGCCCCCTAAAGTTCATAGCAGCACCATTTACAATTGCAAAGATACAGAAGCAACCTAAATGTCCATCAACTGGATGACTGGACAAAGTTATGGTAGACACACACACTGGAATATCACTCAGCCATAAAAAAGAATGAGACAATGCCACTTGCAACATGGATGTACCTAGAGATGATCATATTAAATGAAATAAGTAAAAGACAAATATTTATCAGTTATATGTGGAATCAAAAAAAATCAGACAAACTTAGAAAACAGAAAGATTCACATAAACATGGTTACCAAAGGGGATGGGGGTGGAGGAGTTTGGAATTAGCAGATACAAGTACATATAAAATAAATAAGGTCCTACATTATAGCACAGGGAACCATATTCAATCGCTCAGAATAACCTATAATAAAAAATCTATGTATAACTGAATCACTATGCTGTTTACCAGAAACACATTATAAATCAACTATACTTCAATAGAAACAAAAATGAAAAAAATACTACCTTTAGGGACCACAGAACAGGCACTAGCTTAAGCTCTTTAATAAGCCCATTATCACTTTCAACCTTCAGACTGAGGGGCAGGTATAACTTTTTTTTTTTTTAAGGAAAAGAAATTAGGTGAAAATAGTTAATCTGGATAGAATTTACATCAGAGAATTGTGATGGGGAGAAAGTTCCTCCGTTCACTTTCACTGAGTGAACCTTAACATTTCCTTTAATGTTACAGGCAACAAACCACAATGGTATTCACAGCTCTTGTGACTGCGATTTAAAATCATAGGGGGGAAGAGTATAGCTCAAGTGCTAGAGTGCCCCCAAGTACATCCACTGAAAAATCAAATAAACCAAATTACCTCCCACCTGTGAAAAAAAAAAATCTTGATTTTAATATTAATTTCTATTGCCAAGTATCTTAAGATGCCATTTATGCATCACAACTTCAAAATTAGAAGTCAAACCCACCATTAGCCTCATTTAACGATCAGAGCACATATTACTGAGTCAAACTTAGTATTTTGTAACTATTTCCAATGAAACATTTATAATTCACTCTACATACTTAACGCACATAAAATCAACATTCTAAGAGGTATGTTGGCATCACCAAATATTCCAGGGGAGCACGGCACAAAAAAACTCCAATAACTTGACCATGATCATAAAACTTTAAATTTTTAGTTCTGTATTTAAATTTTTTTTTTTACTGATAGGCAAAACCTGAAACAGGAATAAAAAAACTGCTTTTCTTCCAATACCTATTGAGTAAGGGCATTAAGACAACCAAGATTAAATCTCTAATAGTATCAGGGTTCTTTTGTAGTTTTCAACATTTCTATTGGGAGAATGGACTCAAAGTATTATAAAAAGTGAAAATTACTGTGCTGATTTTCAGATATAACTAGTTAATAAAGGCTAACTACATGATGTAGCGCAATTTAACCATTTGTTTATCTTTTAAAGCAGTCCACATCATTGTAACATTATTTATCCACACTAACAATAAATCCTACAAGTCAAATACTATGTTAGGAAATTTTTATTTCCTAACTTTCAGTACTTCTACAGGTGAATGCAGTTTAACGTACCTGATTGTCTTTAAAAATGTGACAAAGACGGCATATTTTACCTATTACCTTACTCTTCTCCCAATTCTTGGTACTTTATATGTTCAGTTTTAAGTTCAATTAATGTATTAATAAGACCCCATTTTTGCAAAACTATCTCCAAAAAATTTTAATTGCAGTCTTTAATGGGCACATAGGAGATTCCAATTTTTTATCTTACTGCCTGAATATTTTGCAGTTTCATTTAGTATATTTTCATTCTGAGGAAATAAAGGTAAATGTATTTTGAGTTATTTTGTTAGGACTCAAGCAGTAAACTACAATCGTAAGGTACTTAGAACTGCACAGATGACAAAACCACTGCATATTCTGTGAAACCAGTGTGCTGAACTTCAGCAGTGTGTTACAATCTTAACTAAAAATCCTCACATGGCTTCAAGTCACAAAGCATTTCTTGTAAACAGTTATCCATGCTAAGAATCCATATACATATGCTATAAAAATAATTTAGAAAAAAAAATCACAACTCTTAAAACCATACCTCACAAATTTGCTAAGCTTCAACACATTATCACCTCTTTATTTGGGCTAAATTTTAAAACTGTAGTTTAAGACTATTTTCTTAAGTTCTTCCCAACCCACCCTCATGTCACAAAATGCTCAACTGCATTTCTCAAGATTAAGAAACCCAATACTTCTAAAACAAAAACCCATTTTTCCAACTGGAACCACCCACCATCTTTTCTTCCAAATTATTTTTCCTGTAATTATCCTTAACAACTTTTCTCCAAAGCTGATTCCTCAACTATCACCCAAATATCTCATGCACTGTGCTTTAAGACTTAAATCCTTAAGTAGCAATAAACTGTTTCATATGTGATTTGTTTCCCACTGAATAGAATCCATATCCTTTAACTGACATGTTAAGACTCATTCCACATTTCCTATTACTTACTAATGAAGTACAGTGTTCACCTATTCAGCATTTACACAGCATTGTGAAGTGACAAAACAACACACACGTTTCTAAAAATATTTTAATGAAAAAGTTATCTTTCTGTAAACATTTCATTATACTACAAACGAAACATTTGAATCCATTACAGACCACCTCTTAAGTCTTAAAAATCAAGAAAAAACAATGAAATTTAAAAGTAATCTTGAATATTTATATCGGCTAACAATCCTTACATTACCCCTGCACATCAGCATGCTTACCACTTTGACATCAATTACTGGAATTCCAAGATATGGCATTAATTAATATTTCAAATTGACTTAACATATTGGAACTCTTAAAAACAAGCGTTATTTCAACCGTTCAGTTCCTTAAGTCTTCTTCACCAAATTTTCTTTAGGACATGAGTGTAAATTGAGCCTTTTGGGGGAAAATGTACCATGGGACGCTGTTACCTACGTGTTGCTTTGACAAGAATTAGTTTGCCTTGACCATTTCCCCCTTGTTTAACTTCCTTATTTTGTTTACTGATGCTATGACTTAAGAGCATTGTATTTTTCAGAAATGACAATGGAACTGTATTTTAATAAAATCACTTTATTTCATAAATGAGATGGACTGGAAAAGACCACCACCTTTAAAAAAAGAAAAATGCTTCCTATCTTAGGAAATTTGCTTCATTAAAATGTTACAAAGAAAACTTATTAAAAAGATACTACCTTATTTAACACTTCAGTCTACAGTGATGTGTAGAAATTCAGTCCTGACTTATTAGAAAGAGACCCAACCAGTCATTTTCTGAGAATAAAATATGTGGCAAACTAACTATTCCTGTTTATACAAGAACTTGACTTACTCATAACTTAGAAACTAGTTTTAAGTATCTGTCCCCCCAAGTTTTCTTTTATTTTTTAAAGTGTATTATCATCAAATCTCAAATTTTAACAAGCCCTTTTGGGGCAGCAATAATAGCCCTTATGAACAATCAGCATCTGATCTGAACAGTAACTGAGTTTAATATTTTAACTACTCTTTGGGGAAAGTTGTCTTAAAAAGGAGCATTAGCATAATTAGGCCCCCCACCACTTCTGGTTAACACGTTAAACACAAAAAACCTAAAAAAGAACCAAGTTTATCCTATTAGACCAAAAATTCCCTGAAGTCACATGCAAGAGAACTTATTTATGTTACGAGGCCACTTGAATGAAGACCATTTTCATACCTGTATGATCTGACAATTTTGAAAGTTCATTCCAAGACGTTTTTCCTAGAACAAGGATTGGAAGCTTAATGCTTCTGTCATGCTCATTAAAAAAACTCCTCAAAAAATATGATCACTCTTACCCAAAATTGACTTTACCCAAAAGACACGAACACTGAATTGTATATATCTGACTCTAGATGAACACTTCCGGTTATTGCAGGGAAATCTTTTAAACTGTTTAAATGTGTTGAATGTGGTGCCAAGATAAAGTTCTCAGCTGAACAGTTTTGCCAATGTACCTAATGGTTTCTAAAGATGTAATATAAATTTGTGGGGAAACAAATGGTGTCAACCAGGCTTTACTGTGAGCTACAAACCTTACCCAGCCAGAAACCTTCGTATTTAAGATGGTAGGAAAGACATTCCTCTTTTAGGCAAGTAGGGTTCTCATTCAACCTGCAAATCAAAAAGATTACTCTTACCTTGCTTTACAAAAAATTACTCTTTAATTAGTGAAAAAATTCAAATGCAAGCCTTACCTAATGCTTATTGCCCTTCCTCGCAGGTCTAAATGCTAGACCTAGTGACTGTGGCCAACTATCTCTCATTGATGTTCCAAAAGGCGAAGAGCTCCTTCCTGCTAGACTTTCTTCGATATTTCAGTTGCAATAAGCAGATTTAACTAGCTTTTGGAAGTTGCTCACTATCACCATAGTATCTTATGCCTTCACTTCTCTGTAGTTGAAGCTCTTGCTGCTGCCTTGTCATTCTTTATTTATGCTGACTTGTCCATACTCAAAGGGCTGCTGAAGTCCTGTCTTAGTGAGTCTCCTTTGATCCACACTGTGCTTAAGAAAGCACATCTTAGGTCCTTTAAAGCTGGTTAAATCGCTCTCCTCATGGCTTAACTTTTCCACACTGTTCACAAGAACTAAGCTAATACAACTTATAAACAGGTCACACACACAGATTTCACCTGCTTATAGGTTGCAAACATCAACTTACTAACAATATTTTCACTATTGAACTAGTTCCAGAACATAAAAAATTTGTTAACAGTACAATTAACCTCATATGCCATTAAAGGATACTGTCAAGGTTGTGTCAAACAATTTCACAAACATAGAAACAGGAAATGTTAATCTCCCCCATTCCTTCAACCTTTATTATATGAATAAAAGAACTTGAGACAATTTAGCTTAATTTTAATAAATGTTTCCCAAGCATTATTTTGACCAGGTACCCAGGTTTACGTTATGAACATTGACAGTGTCCATTTATATAACCACACTTGAAGTTGTTAAAGACTTAACCATTTTCTAATTAGCCTATTTTCTACGCTGCTTATTCACATATGTCCATTAACAAATGGAATGTTGTCTGTTACATTTATTGGTTTGTGAGTGTTTTCTGGAAAACTGCAGTGTCTGTGAAGACCGATTTCCATGCTGGCATTGCATGCATCCAAATATTAATGCAGAGGCACAGAATTAGAGCAACAAGAGAGCATATTCAAACACTAGCACGCCCCATCCCCCTTTTTATTGCTTGTTTTGCTTAGTACTTCTTAAAAACAAAACAAAAAAAGAAACTCAATTTCAACGTTCAACTACCAAAGAAATTTTAACAGCAGGGCACATACTTAGGGCTTGAATGAAATTGTAAACACTAGCTGGCGCAAAACAGTAGACAATGGTTTATATAAATATATACGACCTTGTTAGCTAAAACTCTTCTCAACCAGGGTCTTCCAAACAAATTGTTAACTCATACCAACATGACCTAGGTTCAAGCATACACATGGAATAACAGTGTGTTCTTTGGGATTTTAAGTGAGTACAAACTCTGACTATCCAAATTTGAATTCAGGTCTTTGGGAAGTGAAAAGCTTGTTTGTACTAAGCAACTGTGCTACACTTCTACTGCATTAAGTCATTTGGGATGATTAAATCTAGACTATCCTTGGTTTCATCCAGTAAAATGCAGAGGATACAAACAGGAAAGCATGCCAGCCAGTTAAGGGTTCAACAATGCATGATTTTTATTCTCTTGCTCTGAGAGCTTGTATCAAAAAAATATATATTAAACCAAGGAAAATAACTGAAGATTTATGGGCCTCTTGTGCTTTAAAAAGGAAAAAAAGGGTAGCCACTAATTTGCTCAGATACAGCAAGCTTAGTGGTCCTATATCTTCAAGATTTTAAGAATGTTTCTTCAGGTAAGAGGAAAGGGAAAACATTCACTACCCCTTTCCAGAATTTAAACAGCGGGCAGTAGACATCCTTTACACCCAAGTAAAACTATGGCAGCAGTTTACATGTGACCAAAGTGAATGCAAAATGGAGATGTTCTAAACACAGCTAGGACTCTCAGCAAAGCTAATACACTAAAATCATGATTACATTTGAAAGAAAATGCACAAAAACCAAATAGAAATTTTGAGATTTTTCATTTGAAGGTAAATCTTAATGCTATTAAATTCACAAATATGCTAATTTAAATACCCAATTCTATTATCTAAAACACACATTGCAAACATACAAATATCTATTCTCTCCACATGTCAGAGCCCATTCATTTCATGGTTTGGAAATGGGGAGAATAGATTCCCCTTAAACTGCAAGTAAGCAGGTGTTTCTTTACAGTTAACGTTAGCAAAATTCATACAAAATAGTAATTAACAATGATCTTCTTTACTTGTTAACTCACAAGGAAACACCTTCAAAACTGCATTTTGTTAAAGTTTCTGTACTAAAATGTAGAAAAACTGAACTACACAAATATTGAAAAGTTAAAAATTCCTTAATTTTTTATTCCTGGTACCACTACCACAATTTACAGGGCAATATACCTGATGTAATGAAAAGAAAAAGAAAAAGACAAAGCTACAACAGATAAAAGACCTCAGGAATGTACATCTAATCGACACTACATTGCATTAATCAATAGCTGCACTTTTTGCAAACTGTGGCTATGACAGTCCTGAACAAGAAGGGTTTCCTGTTTAAGCTGCAGTAACTTTTCTGACTATGGATCATCGTTCCTCCTGTGGCAGATTTTTACAGTTCCTCTAATGCATTTGGGACGACTGTCTCAAAGTAACCTGCAGCTTTCCTGACAACTCCTCGCTCTCTCTCCTGCTAAGAACTGTAGCCTGTTGAATAATACAGGATAAAAAAATTATTACACTCAGTGTAACAGTTCCACATATTCTTTATCATCATGATAAAAACTTAAAAGATACCTACCCTTTTCTGCTGAGTTTTTAGAACCTTCTGCTACCATATCCACCACTTCCACCACCAGATCCATAACCACCTGGAAATACAGATAGTTTTTAAAAAACATGAGCTTTTAATTTAGGCAACTATGAAAATTTTTGATAGGAAAAAAATTTTATTTACCACCATAAGGACTGCCCGAGCTTCTTCCACCAAAACTGCCCCCCTTCATGGGTCCATAATTTGATTGCTGTTGTCCACTATAATTTCCAAAATCATTATAGTTCCCACCACCACCATAGTTACCTGAAATTACAGAGATTTTATTTGTGGTTGACCTACACGATAGTTATTTTCCTTTCTTAACACCTGCACTTACTAATTCCTGACAATCATCATAGCATGCTCTACAACACTTACAATCCTTTGAAAAGAGATTTTACATGAGGTCCTGGGTTCAATCTCCAGTGCCTCTGTTAAGGGGAAAAAGAGATTTCATAGACCTACCAACTCTCCCTTATCACAAAGAGGCCCACTAGCAGACCTCAGCTATTATGTAGGAGAGGAGGAGCAAAGAGCACAAGTTGGCTCAAGAGTATGTATTTAGATAGCTCCCTTATTTTGTTAGATGCTACACCCCAGCACATTGTCTTCTGCATACACTAAACACTATCACCTGTGTCTGTGTTTGATTCACTCTTAATTCTGATACAGTATAACTTTTAAATCAGTGACAAAAAATATTTCAAGTTCACTTGAAATTGAATTGAAAAACTTTCTGTTGCTGATACATTAATAAGAGTTCAACAAAATTCAGTGAGTTCCTAACTATAGTATCATGGAATAATGATGCAGACTTGCTTACAGTCTGTGATGCATCTGACATATTAAAACCCTACGTATTTTTATCACCTAAACTGCAGATGACATCCTATTCATTTTAACACGTCTATACATTCAATTTAGTTTCCACTTTTCCAGTTTAAACACACCTAGAGTTAAGTAAAATTCGGTCAACAATTACTGATAAATGTCCATTTCAACACACAAAGTTAAGAGATGAATACATTTTGCCAATTTACTAAACCAGCAAAATAAGAAAATTCAGTTTAATTTCCCACCACTTGAGTACTTTGTATTACAGAGCATATTTAACCAAATGCTATTCTAATGTGTTTTCACAAACACCTGTAATGAACCACACACAATACTTAAAACAAGTGAAAGCTTACCACCTCCAAAATTTCCTCCTTCATTGTAACCATCATATCCTCCACCACCGCCACCATATCCACCACCTTGGTTTCCATATCCTGGTCCACCACCACCATAGCCTCCTCTACTACTATAACCAGGACCACCTCCATAGTTGCCACCTAAAAAAGAAAAAACTGGGTTGTCACTCAAAAACACAAATGCACATGGGATCAAGTTATTGAACACTAATTTACATTTCATTTAAGTCCCTGGAAAATAGGCCGAGTTGAAAAATCTAGTCTTCTATGGTATTAGTTTAGTGTAAGCATATTTTAATCGTCAAGCCATGCAAGTTTTAACTGAAAACAGGAAAATGTAAACAAATACTTAATTCTTAATAAACTCTAGAAACAAAGTCAAAATAGAGAACAAAAAAACCTTACCATCACCTCCAAATCCATTATATCCACCATCACCTCCTCCATAACTACCTCTGCTGCCACCACCTCCACCACCATAGCCTCCTAAAGAAAAGCAAGGTGGGAATTAAAAAGATATATTCAAATTACCAATACATTTTAGATAACCATGCAGTTAGAAATAACTGTCCTACCTCTTCCGCCAAAGTTTCCACCACGGCCAAAGTTACCTCCACCACCTCCAAAGTTTCCACCACGACCCATAAAGTTGCCAGATCCACCTCCACGACCTTTAAGACAGGAAAGGAGTATCTTTAAAAACCTTACAAACACCACCCACATTTATTTTTTATGTGTATATGGTACTACTCACCTCTTTGTGATCCAGCAGACTGCATTTCTTGTTTAGAAAGGGCCTTTTTCACTTCACAATTATGCCCATTAATAGTGTGGTATTTCTGAACTAAATTTTTTTTTAATCAAACAAACAAACAAAAGTTACTTGATATTTGGGAAAGCACATGTAAACGACATCCTTTATCCCTATATAACAATAAAACATCGAGAAAGTAGTGACTGAGCAGGTCAGCAGGGATGAGAGAGCATTCTGGGATGTTAACATTTCTCAATCTGGATGCTGGTTACACAAATATAATCACTTTATGAAAACTGAACCATACACTTCATATGCTATTACTATGCATAATACAAAATAATCAACAATTTAATAAATATAGTATACAACAAAGAAGCCGTTTCTGCTTCCTCATTCAAGTTCTGATAAATTGTTACTTACCAACAATTTTATCAACTGTATCATGATCATCAAAAGTTACAAAAGCAAATCCTCTCTTTTTCCCACTCTGTCTGTCTTCCATAACTTCTATGGTTTCAATCTTGCCATACTTTTCAAAGTAGTCTCTCAAATTATATTCTTCTGTATCTTCTTTAATACCACCAACAAAAATTTTCTTCACTGTTAGATGGGCACCAGGCTTTACAGAATCCTACAAATAAAAAATACTTCAGTAAACAACCCAAAAACTTCACAAATTTTTACAACATATGTCACACAACATGGTATTATTAAAATACCTCTCTAGAAACAGCTCTCTTTGGTTCCACTACACGCCCATCAACCTTGTGAGGTCGAGCACACATTGCTGCATCCACCTCTTCAACACAAGAGTAAGTCACAAAACCAAAGCCCCTGGAACGTTTTGTTTGGGGGTCTCTCATCACCTACAAAATAAAAATTTTAAAGCACTGAAACACCTCCATAAGTCCTCCATCCCTTTTAAAGAAACTTTCTTGTTCCTTTTAAACTTACCACACAATCTGTAAGTGTGCCCCATTTCTCAAAATGTTCTCTTAAGCTATCATCTGTAGTTTCAAAGCTCAGACCACCAATAAACAGTTTTCTCAACTGCTCTGGTTCCTTTGGATCATGGCCCTGTGGAAACAAACCAACATATAATTGGAGTAAGATCACACATACCAACTGATTAATGGAACCAAAAAAACCAAGAAAACCTATAACCAGACTTTGAAATGCCAATATCACTTAAAAACTAAATTGAAGTCCAAGAGAATTTCAGAATCAAAAGTCCTGTTACTTTAAACTACAAGTGTCTGGGGACAGATTATTTTAGAAAGGTCTGAGAAATCATTTTCTAAGAAACAAAAGTGTTGTAAAAGCAGTGTTTCATCCATGGTATTTCTTCTCATGTCTTCCCTGAGTCTACACCCCAACAACCATTTAATTTTAAACCACAAAACTATTAAGTACAACTTACATTATGAATGACAAATTTAGACACATTCACCAGTTTCAAGCAAATAAAGATGTTAAAACAATACTCCTCAATAAAAGGCTAAACCAGCACCCCCCCAAAAAACTATGGAAAAAATCCACCATATATCTTGATAACTTCCTGTAATCAACTTATGTTACAGGTTACATACTGCAAAAATTACCTATTTGCTCTTGTAGAACACGCCAAAAATGCCAAAACCAGTATTTAATTGGGTCTCAGAAAGGGAAAGTTGGACTTAAGTACAGCATGTTGACAATGCAGCACAATAGAACAGAAATTGAGATTTAAAAAAAATTAAGGCCCGAATCGCTTTACAATTTAACTAGTTCTTTAATAAACTACATGAACTGCCATTTAATATATCCATTAAGATCTTTCACCCAAAGTCCTTAAATAAAGGGGTTCACATTTACACCCTAGGGTGGTCCTGGCTTCTAAAAGCAGATGTTAAGGCATTTAGTATTAAGAGGCTGTCACATGCTAAGAAAAAAAAAGATTAACAGCCTAAAGTATTAATTCACTTACTCTCATCTTTTCAAGTCCTGGTTAGATGACACATTTAATTTACAATACACAAAGCTGACAAAAAGAAACTGTAACCCACGTAGAATTATCTCAAACAACTGAAAAAGTCGATTCTGGTTACAGTACTTTAAAACAAAAATTCAAGAAACTACAACCTAAGCCGACCCACCAGAGAACGGGCAAAAATAGAGATCAAGAATTTTTAAATTTCCTATTTTACCTCTACACTCATATCCTGAGATGGACTACTACTTCACCCACAGGGAGCGAAGTTATGTATAATGCTAAGAACTTCAGCAAACATGGCAGGTCAAGAAATATTTCAAAGCATCTCATTTTAAAAAATTCTTATTTTCATCTGAGTACTGCAAAGAACAAAACAGGATAGAGAAATTCTCATCTCCTTAGAAGGGTAGGCCTAGAACGGCGCCGGCAGAGAACAGCGAAAGCACTAGGCCCCAAGCTTCGAGGCCATTTGCGGCATTTTCTGCTAGGCCGCCTCCTCCCTCTTCCTTCCAATCCCACGCTCTCTCTCCCGGCGGCGCAGCCAGGCGGCGGCCATTGCGTGCCAATGCGCCATTTCGTAACGCGGCAGCGGATCAATGTCAATGTGGCCGCCGCCCGCCTGCTCGCTCGCCCGGATGTGCCTGCTCGTCCCCTCCCCTCCCCCACCGCCTCCTCCCAACCGCTCCCGCCGAGGCCCGCCATGCCGCCCTCGGCCTCGAATCCGAGGCCGCGCGGCGGGTAGGCCGACCTCCCTCCCGAGGCCCAGCCACGCCGCGCCTCCGAAGGGCCACCTGTGCAGCCAAAGGAGACGGCAAGGCGGGCGAGAAGCCCCAAGGAGGCCTCCGAGGCCCGCTCCCCTCCCCCTCCCACCGCCCGTCTCAACGCAGAGCGCGGGACGGCCGACCCGGTCCACCCGGCCTCCCCGCTCCCACCGAGCTAGGCACCCCCCAATGCCGGCCACTACCCATCAACCCCCCACTCTCCCCCTAATACCTCCTCCCCCCGGCGGCGGCGGCGACGGCCGGAGTCGGGCTGGGGGCGACCGGGCGGCGGTTTTACCTCCATTTTGAGACCGGACTCGCCTCTTCCAACTCGAGTTCAATATGGGACCGAGAGGAAGAGGCGGGGCCAGCCGTCACGTGACGCGTTTTCCGCGCGCCGCCGTCCCAGTGGGGGGAGGGGCGGCCTGAAAGGGGGTGGCCAACTTGGCGCGAAGAGGGACTGAACGAGCCGATTGGCCGACAGAGGGCGGAGGCGTGGCAGGCCTCGAGAGCGCGCCCGTCTCTCCGGCTTCTAGTGCGGCGCCGCCCTTGCCGCCGTTCGCGCCCCGGCCGCTGAGAGGACGTCAGCTCGGGTTCGGCCAATGGCTGGCGCCCACGTCGAGGGAACGCTTCGTGACCGCGCGTCAGTGGAGAAAAAGGCCTGTTTCTCTTTCTTCTCGCACTCCTTTCCCCTCCCCCAGGTGGGCCTCTCGGTTTCCATTACCGAATTCACTTCATTCCAGAGTCTGAATAAAACCACTTTTTTCTCTCTTGTGCTTTAGGGGGGCAAGAAAGCCCCTCTCGGCCCCTCCGGGTCTCCTCTCAGGTTAATACCAGGGACAGGTTTCGGTGTCTGCGACGCCTACGGGGTGGGCCCACACTGAAAATCCCTGCGACATTGGCCTGTGTGAATCATGGGCACCTTGGAAAGGCCTCAAAATGCGGCCGACATAGTGAAGTGTCACCCTTAACCAGCTGAGGCAGGACTGGTCGAGGTCAGTTAATTAGGTACCCACTAATCTCAAGAAGTCTGCGGGCACAATTTTCTGATACTTCTCGTTGCTGTGCAAAGAGCTGAAGCAACTGTCCTCGCGGAAAGGATTTGAGGAATGATTTGCAAGATTGCTACAAGTAGGATTGCCAGATAATGCTCTCTATTCGCGAGTGATTTTTACCTTAATGTTGCCAAATTGCTAAGTATAATGAACGAGGTCAATTAAGAGTTAAGAACCAGAGACCTAATCCATTCTCTGCTTAGCCCTAGTGATTTTGAATCATTTGACCTTACTGAGCTTTAGTTTTAGAGTTGTTTTTTTTTAAATAAAAATGAGGATGACATTTGTTAATCACATCCATGACAACTGTAAATAATCTATGGATCCGTATTTAAGCAAAGGTGCTGATAAAAGTGACCACAATTGACAGGTCTCCTATAATGCTAAGAAATACCGTGTATTTTACAGTTGCAATCCATATGAGCAGCTCCTTTAGAATTGTTCAGGCCCTCTCTTGTAAAGATTAGAAATCTAATCAATTACAGCATAAGTTGTTTCAAAGGCAGTTGGCTAGTGAATGGGGAATGGTTGGTGGAGTTTGGAAAAAAGGAGCACAAAGAATAAGAATGTGTTGATGTTTATCTAGCGTTGCTGAAGTGTTTTATTTCAGAGACCTGAACAAAAAGATAGTCTGTTCTGGGGCGGAAACCAAGCACCAGGGCTTAATGTAACTTGGATGATGTAACCCTCCAAACCTCCTCTGGCTGCTCTGATTCTGTTATCACTAGCAAATTATTACATTTTCTGCTTATCAGGTACTCCTGATAGCCAACAATAGTACTCGACATATTGGGAAAATTTATACCTTAGTGTATCATTAATATATCAAGGCCTTTTGAGTTTGTTACTATGAAATAGTCATGAATAACTTGGTCAATTCTGAGTATGTAGAAAAAAGGCAAAGTTAAAGAGCTTAGGAAGATGGTACTCATACCATGTTACCCTGTGAGGCACTGCAAGGTGATCAAGCAGACTGATCACATGGCTTCACTTTAGGGCATGTTTGTCTAGCTGTTTTCTAACCAGGTTATTTCTAATTAATAACTTCTGTTCTTTCATCTTTCAATTGCATTAAATTTTCATTTTGATTTGAGAAATGATGGGGAATGCGATACTAAGTATTTCCATCCAGGAACATGGTATGTTAATCCATTTATTCAGGTCTTTTGTCCTTCAGTGAAATGTGGATCCCTCCCGGATTTGTTATTCATCCAGATTCTGTGGTTTTTAGACATTAGCTATTTTTTATGCATTGTCTAAGCTTATCCTCTAGTGCTGGGGCCACATGGTGTCCTATACAAATATCCCAGTTGGAGTTTTTGACGCTGTTAGGCACAGACTTGAACCTTGGCTACTGTCTATCCTTGTAGCCCTGGCTGTCTTTGAAATATGAGAGAGACAAAGAGAGGGTGGGGAGCAGGGGACAAGGGTTCTGGGGTGGGATAGGGTGGCAGACAGACTTTATAAATAATCTTTATCAGAGCTTCTCAACTTCTTTCATATCACAACACATACAGAAAATGTTAATTTTTGTACAGCACACTAGGGTACATAAATGAAGAGATTCAGAAGCATCTAAATGCTGGTAAAAAGATTCATAACATTATCTTTAAATAATTTTGATAAAATAAAACAGTGTATTAGAGATGATATTAAAAATTGAACTTGGATAAAACTTTCAAGTAAGATTTTTCCACAGTTTTAAATAATCAGCTTCAATTTGTTCCTGTGAATGTATTCTGATATTAGGCTTAATGGTTGAAATGACTTTATGGAGTTTCTGATCTAGACTTTTTAATGAAAAATTCCTCATTCTGAATAGCAATTATCAGTGAGGGACTCTCACCGCCTAAGTGGGTGATAAAATATTTAAAACGATTTTATACGACTGTTCAAAATTTGCAGTTGTAATTATATTTAAAGAAAAACTCTTCCCTTTTCTTTTATTGACAAATAAAATGTTGTGATTTCATATGATAATGCAAAAGAATTTCAAACCCAATAGTACATTTTTATATCAAGATTTCCACATTGAAACCAGCTTTCAGAACATGCATGCATTGTCAACAGCTAGCCTGGGCACCATTGAAAGAGTGCACTACTGCAAAAGGGTAGAGATAGCCACTGTATGTTTAGATAGATATTAAAGGCATTGCTTGGAGCTGAGCCCACCAGAAATCACATTCTGCCCAGGCTCCTCTCTCGCCCCCTGACAGATTACTCCTGAGGCTGTGTACTGTGCCCCTTGGGTCTTGTGCATTGGCTCCAGTATCTCTGCTCCATAATGGGCAGTGGGGTGCTTTGCAGATAAATGCCAATGTGGCAGGTATCTCCTTGGCCATGCACACACAGCAGAACCGTAAGTGGTGGTGTCCACGGTGCTAGCTGCTGCTGTGACATATACCTCAGACTGTTCTGCAGAGGTACCTGAGGAGACGTAAACAAGGCTACTTACTTACAGCCAGAGGTACTGAGCCAAAGGGTTCTGGCTGCCCCTGACCCCTCTCAACTGCCCCACTGCAGGAGAGGTCATTTTCTCACTCACATTCACGATACCAGCATGCCAAAGCCCACCTGTTGGGAAGCTCTGTCTGTATTGTGTGCCTCATTTTATGAATGAGGAAGCTGTTTTACAGATCAAGAAGTTGATTTCTTTCCAAAATGAGTAGCAAATATGACAGAGTCAACTGAAAGAAAGAGAATGGAAATTGAATGAAAATATTTTGGATAGGAGGAAGATTATTCTTAGATGGGAGAAATTATAATATATGATAAGCTTTGTTATTTTCCTCTATATTCAGAACATGCTAATAGCTTTATTTTTCTAAAATCTTGGTTTTTAAATGAGTATATGAAGTAAAACAAACAAAAAACACAAAAATCTCTCCCCCCAAATCCTATTACACATATTAGACCACAGTCAATAAGTTAGTGTATATCCTTTTATATTTTCTTCTAATTCTAATCAATGCTTTAAGCATATATAAATGTGTATATATAGCCATATCTGTTTCATTTATACAAAAATATTTCAAAATATCTAGATTGAAATATCCTTACCCCCCCACTTAACAAGCAGTCATTTATTGAACTCTTACTAGGTGCCAGGTGATGCCAGACGCTGGAAATTCATCATAGTCACACACATTATTGAACACTTACCATGTACCTTGCACTGTTGTTAGCACATTGTTTATGTTCCTGATCTCATTTAATTCCCCTAACAACCTTAGGAGTAGGCTCTATTATCATTGTCATTTTTTAGGTGAGTAAACTAGGGCTTTGGAAGTTGAATAAATTGACCAGGGTCATATAGCCTCTACAATGAAGGAGCTGAGGTGGAGTGTCATGTCATAGCTGTATTTACATTTTAATATTCTTAGAAGTAACAACCTTTCTTTTTAAAGATTTTCTGTCATGAACCTGTCATTTTCACTACCTTTTTTTATCATGTCTCCAGAGACTGACTGGCTCATAGTAAGCAATTCATTTATTTGTTGTTGAATAAATAGGTGAATGAACAGTGAGAGAAATATTTTGGGTCCCCTTCAATGCTTTGCAGAACCTACTACATAATTTTTGGACCTAGTGCAAAATAACAATGCAGGCCTCCTTGTTCAAAAATTATTAAGAATTTCAAGACAGTGACATCTGACCATTAAGCAAAGCCACGACCCTTCTGAGCTCAGGGCCTTCTGCAACACTAACACCGGCCTAGTGCCTAGTGCAATGTCTTGTCTAGAGCAAGCTCTCAGTCTCTTTCAGGCAGTTTATTCATTTTTCGTTTTGTGATCTACCTCTACTTCCTTGTCAGCCACTCATTTCTTATGTGTTTATAATCTAGTTTCCACCCCAGGATATGGAAATTCTTTCTCCAAAGACACAAATGATTATCTAACTGTCAAATTTTCCTATTCTCAACGTTAATCCTCCTGTTTTAGTCGGTTTGGGCTACTTTAACAAAATACCATAGACTAGGTGAATTAAAAACAAACAACTGTTTTTCACAGTTCTGGAGGTTGGGAAATCTTTCAGGATGCCAGCATGGTCAGGTTCTGGTGAGAGCCCTCTTCCTGGTTTGCAGCTGGCTGTCTTCCCACTGTGTCCTCACATGGCCGAGAGAGGAGGGGGGAGAACGAGAGAGAGAAACCAGTGAGAGCATGAGCTCCAGCTCTTGTGTTTCTTATTTATAAGGACATTAATCCCATGATGACCTAATTATCTCCTAAAGGCCCACCACACTGGGGATTCGAGTTTCAACAAATACGTTTTGGGGAGACACAAACATGCAGTTCATAATACCTCCCTAACCCAGGGATTGACATTACTGACTAATCTTCCTTTTGGTGTTGTCTTCTCTTTTCTTTATTAAGGACATTGATTCTCTTTTTCAGTGCTGTCCCTACTTCCTTCTGGATCCTTCCCTCTTTCATTTCCTCCTCCTTCCCATAAGGTTTTGTAACTCTGAGATATGGAGCCTCCTAAGGGACTTTGTGAAAGGTACCCATTTCTCTTTCTGTAGTGGCCACTTTGCTTGGGAAAGAAGATGTGAGTGGTGGACATGCCTGAGAATCCTCAGGGGATTTGTACATGCCTCCTGGGAGGTTGAAGCAATGGCCGGGTCTGATTAGTGTGTTGAGATGATGGGATGGATCACACCTTCCTCCCCAAAACACACACACACACAGACACACACACCCCATGGGTAGGTGATTTAAAGGGTGAAGAGGTAATTTGATACTAGAAGTATTAATGAATCATACACAGTAATTACTCTCTCTAACAGGTCCTAACTTGGAAATTTGAAAGGGCTAAAATCTTGGTAATAGGTCTTTACAAATGACTTCCCTGTATTTCCCTAGTCACATCTTTCAGGATGGATATCTGTGATTTTACCTGCCCAACATCTACTTCTCTTCTAGTGATAGCACTCTGACGTTCTTAAGGAACCACGTATTTCTCATTCTTAGACCATATGGTTCAGGAAGAGCTGATCCCATCCTGACAAGGATTTGCCTTAGGCCTGGCCAATTCTATCATTGTGTCCTCCAGCTTCCATAATTGGTTCAACATTGGGCAAGTGCCTTGTCATTCACTGATTCATTTATTCACTCAACACATACTTATTGAGCACCAGCAGGGTTTTAGGTGCTAGGGATATATCATTAGGAAACAAAAGAAGACAAAAATTTCAGCCTTCGTGAGCTTACATTCAAATAAACAAAATGAATGAATAAATAATAGAGGATATTACAAGATGATAGATGGATGCTGTGGAGCAAAACAAAATAGGGAAGTTGGTAGGGAGTGCTGGGAGAGGAAGGAGAAAATGCATTTGTATGGTCCAAGATGGCCTAACTGAGAAGGTTGATGTTTGAGCAAAGATTTGAAGGAGATGAGGGATTGAACTGGCTATTTGGGGGAGCAGAGAATAAGGAATAAGGAAGAGAGAACAGCAAGTGCAGTGACCTTGAAGCAGATTCACTTCTGGAGTTTTTGAGCAAGGAAGCCAGTTTGCCAGAAGCAGAGTGGGTGAGAGGTTAAGAGAAATGGAGTAAGGTCAGAGGTAATAATAGGTACAATCTTACAGGACTTATAGGACATTTGCAAGAATTTTGGATTTTTCTATGGCAGGAGAAACCATTGAATAGTTTTGAGCCTTAAATTCACTCTGAATTCTATCAGGTATATCACTTATTTCTGATTCATTAAAGTCTGTTTCTGGGGCTTTATCTTGTTCTTTCATTTGGAACAAATTTCTCTGTTTCTTCGTTTTCTGTGACTCTCTGTGTTGGTTTCTGTGCACTAGATAAAACAGCCACGTCTCCCAGTCTTGAAGGAATAGTCTTGTCTAGGACATGAACCTTATTGTTCAGCCTGCCCCAGCTCTTGGTTGTTTTTAAAAACTTTGTGGTTGTCCAGGCAGCCTTCTTTGTTCTCAGTGGTTGAGGGTGTGCCAAGACTTGTCAGTGTCCCGAAGGGGAGGATCTCAGTCAGCTCATAGATGCAGACTGATTGACTGGTGGACCCACAGGCAGCAGCTTCTAAAGTATGCCAATAGGCCTTTTTCAGGGAAAGTCTGGGAGATGGGCATTTCTGTCTACTCCTTCAGTACTGAGCCAGGGTGGGTATTGCTGGTTAAGACCTGTTTGTTTGCTACACTGTACAGGATCATTCTTGTTGTTTGTTGAAAGTAGATTATAAGAGGGCAAGAGTAGAAGTAAAGGTACTCTTGGGAGATTGGATTAGAGTAATCCAGTTCAGATAAAATGATATCTTAGACCTGGGTGATAGCTGAGAATATGATGAGAAATGATTGGATTCTGAGTATATTTTGATGCTAGAGCCAACAGGATTTCCTGTCAGAATGGACATGTGGCATGAGAGAAAGAAAGGAGTCAAGGGTGAGTTAATGAGTTAATGCACTCAAAGAGTTAATGAGTCTAAATTTTTAATCTGTTCTTTAAACAGTTGGAAAGAGACATTCTTCAGTTTGACTGCTGAAATGAAGGAAGGAAGGCTGCAGTTTCTTATTGCCTCCTTATCATCATGAGGAAAAAGCCAGCCCAAGAATGAAGCCACATGGGAGGGAAGCAGAGCCAATAGGTCACAAACACAAGACCAAGCCCTGATGACATTGTCTGTGCTCCTTGATCCAGGTAGGCTCAAGCCAGGATCTGCCCCTGGACGGCTCAGTTATATGAGCCTAACTTCTTGTTGTACTTGAGCAAGTTGGATTGGGTTTCTGTTACTTGGAGCAAAAGAACCCCAGCTAATATACCCCAGGAATAGAGCAAGGGTATATATCTTTCAGTTGAAAAGAGAACCATCAAGACAGTGAGGCTTTACTCCTCCTCAGAGGACAAGGAGCCTCATCTTCTGCCCCAGGTGCTGAAATGCCTTGAGAAGGAAAGGGTAAGAAACCACCAGGTTCTGCAGAGACATTTCTTAAGACTACTGTTTTTGGAGAGTTATTTTAGCCAAGACCGTAAAAGAACTAGAAATCCTGTGGAAGGAAGGGCATGGGGTCATGCAGTTTTTGAGCAGAAGGAAGAAAAGAGCAATGGGACAATTCCCTTCCCAAGTCCCTCCAGTTATCTTGGAGATACCCTGATGTGTGTCTCAAATAAACCTGCCTCGTAAATTCCTTAACATTGCACCCTGCCTTGCCTCTGCTGCCAGCCACCTGCATGAGAATGTCATGCACACAGCACTGGAGTCTTCCAAGGGGCCACTCTGAGCCCTGAGGGTGTGTTGTGGGCTGTGATATAGTGGTGACGGGCCATGAGAGCGGCCTTCTCCACAGCTCCGTTACACTTGCACAGACTCTTTCACAAACACAGCAAAGAAACCTCAATAAATAGAGCAAAGTATGAGCAATTTAATGAGAAAAAATAGATTAAAAAACAGATTCTATTAAACAAAACAACTTTAACCTTTAAATATTTTCAAAGTGATCTTGGTTATTTCCCATCATTTATTCTCCCAGGTAAATTTTAGAATAACTTTGTCAGCTTCCAAAAACAAATTCCAAAAAATTTGTTACAAAATTGTAAGTTTAAAGGCAATTGACCTCTTTGCAGAAAGATGTCTCCCCATCCCAGAACATGGAACATAGATTATATCTCATTTAGAGACTTGAGCATCTTTACGGGAGGAGGCAGCAGAGTGAAAGCATTTGAAAATGTAAGAGAAAGGAAAATTGATGGTTGGAGTGAGATCTTAGAGGTGGGAGCAGATGGGCTCTGGGGCACAGAGGGAGGGCTTTAGCTCTAGACTGGGGAGTCAGTTGTCCCACCCAGTGATGGTTATAGTACCAAGTAAAATTGTAGGTAGGACCTCAGGGTGTTGAGGAGTACCTGTGTGATGGCCCCTGTTCTCCCTAGTGAGTAGGAAATAAGGTTATCTGCTGAGGTGGCTAGGGGTGATGGAGGGTGGTGAAATTTTGAATAGCTGTTGTGAAAGAACTGATTGGGGCCTCCAAAAACCCAGTTTGAGGGCTGGAAACCCAAAACTGGGGTGGCTTCAGTGTCCATAGCTGGATAATTTTCTCCAACAAGTTTCAGTAGACTGAGAGTAAGAACAAAGATATCAGCCCATCAGTTTGCTCCAGAATTGGGGAGTGGAACAGGAGGCCTTGGGCTTCATGGGAGTTGAGTGTGTTGATGAGAGAGTGGTTGAGGTCATGGGTCATGAATACTAGATAAAGTGAAGCCTGTGATGGATTGGGAGAAAATTGAGCAATCAAGTTCCCAGATATTTAAAAAGAAGTGTAGAAATAACTGGATGAGATAGCTGGAAGGGTCAAAAGTTGTGGTCAGGTGAGATATATAAGCATAAGATGTCAGAGGTGGAAGAATCCTCTGTGATGACCAAGTCCACTGAATTGGGCAGCTGAAGTAGAGGAGATTATGCTTCCAGGGTTAAGAGGGTCAGGGAAATCTGAAGCTAGGATATTAGGTTCATTGGATAAGGACATTGGATTTATCCTTGATAACAATAGGGCTTGAAGTAGAGAAGAAAACTGTGCTAGATGCTACAGCTTCAGTTAATATAGAGAAGTGAGAAGACATCTTCATGGCTAAGGATAAAATATATGGCGAAAATAAGATGACGTTTTAAGGAATTTGATGCTGGATAGTTGAAAGAAGTTGTTTGGACTTTTCTGTAGTTGATGCTGTAAACTGTGTAGCTTTTTGAAAAACAATTTCATGTTTTTGTTTAGTATTGAAAATCCAATACACTTTTTAAATTCCAGTCAAAAAACTTTTGGGTCAACAGGGCTGGGGAAATAATACTTTATTTAAAAGGTTGAATAAGATAATATGCATGATTGTACTTAAAATATACACAGTGCCTACATGACATTCCACTAGATGGGAGGGATTTAGAAGTGGTCTCTTCAAAGGACACCACAGCCCAGTAGATGGCTAGTATTGATGTCTGATCAGTGGAATTTGTATCCCACCCAGCATGAATGATAGGTAGAACTGCAGTACTAGGGCTGGAGGGGCTCAGAACTGGAGAAGCTGAGGATAAGCTGTCAGCTCCAGTCCTGGGAGCAAGGAACAGAAATTCTGAATGTATCTGACAGGAATCTCAGCATGAAGTGGGAGCTGGATGTTCGGAAGGGGCTAGGCAGATGTTGTGAGAGGAAAGAGTTGGCAGATCTAGAAAGAAGGTGGACTTAATTTTGGTGGATAGGTTCCCCAGCTCAGGATTACTTTCATGCAACTGAGAGTGCCCTGGGTAACAACTTGGATCTGGCATTTCTTACTGTGATATCTTGGTAACTATCACTGGCCATCTCTCAATTTAATCTTTATTTCTCAACCTCAGTTCTCCACCACAAATACCACCACTGCCCCATTCACCCTAATTTTGATTTACTTTTACTTTAATTTTGACATCATGCAGCAAACTTGCTTCTTTGTGGCTGAGAAAGGTCACTGCACACACAGAATGAAAATGGTATGAAGTATAAAACTGTAAGAAGAAGAATAGTGGTGCAAGTTGCTGTCAGTACAATTTGTCTCCACTCCTGAAAGAAAGTAATTTGATCGAAAGAAATAAGATTAACACCGAATTGACTGACAGACCTTTCCTTTTTTTCTGGGCTACTTTTCCCCCCATCTTTTTATTATAGAAACAAATTTAAAATAAAGAAGATTGGAAGGAATTGTAAAAAAAATCGCCTTTATACCCATTAAGTAGGTTCAACAACTGATAACCATTGTCATATAGTGTTTATGTATCTGCATGGAAATACATTGCAAACATCATAACACTTTTGCCCTAATACTTTAACCTGCATAATCTAAAAACAAGGACGTACTCTTACATAATCACACTACCATGGGTTTTTATTTATTAAATGTTTTTATAATTAATTGCATTCATTATTTCTTTTGATATTTAAACTGCCCCCAACTTGGCTTCTGTGTCCTTTTTGTCATGCTCCCATTAGAATTCAAGAGCTTACTTGAATTCTCTCTCAGGTACACTTAGATTTTATTAATCAAAACAAATTATTTATTGGAATTTTAGGCAATATGTCAGAAAGATCTGAGGATGAGGAGAGGGAGAAAGTGGCCTCTGTATAGGTAGGCCAGCAGGATTGTCCTTAGAGCCAGACAGCCTAGGCTCATCTTCACCTGAGCATTCTTCTCTTTCTTACATCAGAGCCCCAGATTCACCAAAAGCTCCATTGTTTTTCAGAATTTATTGGTAGTGGGAAGCCAAAATTACTATGTGAATGTTTTGCGTGTTTGTAAATTAAGAACTGCCTGCTTATTGTGTAGGAAGGATGAAGATAAATATGACCCAAACATAATTAATTAAAATTGATGGGAAATGCTCATCAGAGCAATATGGGATATTAAGTGAGGAAAGCATGTTAATGTGTATGGTGACGTAAGACTTCTGACTGAGACACAGAAAGAACAGACCATGGGGCCCTCCACATACAGAAGCTGAGCTGTCCTGTGCCTTATTCCTATGGCCTTCTGAGCTCACAGTGACAGAGAAATCCCATAGCTTTGGGTTATGGGAGAGTTATAGCTTAAGAAAACTTCTTGTGACAGTAATACCTTGAACCAAACAAATGTGTTCAAAGGGTGGAAATTTGGGTCACTGAGGCAAGACAGTGGAGAAATTTGATTCTGGACAGAGTCTCTTTCAACAAGTCACACCATAATAGCTCTTCCTATCCTACTACCCTTCTCTGGCCCAGCTTCAGTCTAATCACTATATGGCTGTTCCACATGTACAAGGGAGAGAAGATCAAATTACCCTGAGTGGCAGTTAGGAAATGGAAAAGACATTCAAGATTGCCAGTTTTTTCAATCATCCCTGACCTCTTTACATCTGTTTAGATCTCATCTTAGATCCCCACTTAGATTTTAGAATACTTTTGCTTTATTTGTTGCTTTAAATTTCCTTATATTTTTCTTTCTTCTAGTCCATCTGGTCCTTCTACCATCATTGCCTTAGTTAATGTCCTGGGATATAGTGTCATTTTGCTTACTATCAAGGACTTTTTGAAAAATATATTTTAGTTCTCCTAAATGAGGAGCTTTGGGATTTTTTGAATTAGATGAATCTTTCCAGAAGACCAAAATATGAAGAGGATTCTGTTAATCCTATCTAAAATATGACTATAAAAATATGAAGGGGATTCTGTAAATCCTATATAAAATCCTACACAATCTTAGAGGAGACATACTTTGTTAATTAACTGAGGAGATGGGTTTAACAGTCTTACATGTATTTCAAGTATTCCCTCTCTCATCTGCTGTGTGGAGTAGCTGAAGTAGTGTTCTTCCCCAGCTCAGGTTCTCTTTCCCCTCAGAGCTCTGCTCAAATAAAGTCTCTCTCTGTAAAAAGAATCTTGGTACGAATGGCTAAGAAGTTACTTCTCCTGCCCGCACATAATTAAAAATAAATGGAAGAAACCATGTCCAAAGAAATGTGCTTTTATTTACAGTTGTTTAGCTTAGCAAATAAAATTGCTGGTTACCACTGCAGCATTCTTAGACATGTTCTTTAACCTCTAAAAGCAACCAAAAAAAATTAGAAAATAGAATAAAAAGAAGTGGTGTAGGAAGGGACAAATGAGGCTTCAGAAGTGGGCATCATGCTCTATTCCCTTAATGGACAT